CTTTCTTTTTATTTATATATTAATAATAATATATATTATTATTATTATTACTCCAAGAAATGTAACCAGGCAACACACTGCATATATGGATTTTGAACATGTTGCTCTTTCTTTTTATTTATATATTAATAATAATATATATTATTGCGATTGTTGGGCAGAAGATCTGACATTGGCCAACTGGAAAATAAATGAACATGAGGAAGAATCTAAACTCATGTTTTTTTGTCTCTGTTTCCTTCCCTCCCCCCCCCGTCCCTCTTCCATCTCTCCTCTGTCCCTCCCTCTGTCCCTCCCTCCATCACCCCCCTCTCTCTTTCTCTCTCCTTCTCTCCCCCTCCATCCCTCCCTTCCTCTCTCCTCTTCTGGGGGTCCAAACAGAAATGGTGTGGAGAAGCTGCCCAGAAGTGACAATGAGGAGATAGGGACGTTCCTCCTACCTCTTCCCAGCTCGCTGTAGAGAAGAGTTGCAGGCTCTCCGCACATCTGCCCACTGTAGAGACATCTTGCTTGTACCGTGAAGGAGTAATTGTGGCCAGCCTTCAGGTGGGAAACCTTGAAGACATTCTCCGTAGTGTTCCCCAGATAGGACGTGGTGTTGGTCCCACCGTCAAACATGTGCACCTCATACCCCTGGAAGTGGAAAGAATGAATTCATTTAAGGAAGTATTTAGAATTAAGCTAATAATTGTCAGAGGAGGAACAGAAAAGGCAGGGAAACTTTACTTTCCAGAACTTTGAATGCCCTGTAAAGCACTTGAAGGCAGGACAAGAAGCAACGGGTGGAAACTAATCAAGGAGAGAAGCAACCTAGAACTAAGGAGAAATTCCTGACAGTTAGAACAATTAACCAGTGGAACAAGTTGCCTCCAGAAGTTGTGAATGCTCCAACACTGGAAGTTTTTAAGAAGAGATTGGATAACCATTTGTCTGAAGTGGTGTAGGATTTCCTGCCTAAGCAGGGGGTTGGACTAGAAGACCTCCAAGGTCCCTTCCAACTCTCTTATTCTGTTCTGTTCTGTTCTATTCTACTCTAGTCTATTCTACACTCCAATATTTATTCTATTCTATTCTATTCTATTCTATTCTATTCTATTCTATTCTATTCTATTCTATCCTATCCTTTATTCTCTATTCCTATTCTATTCTATTTTACATTCCAATATCTATTCTATTCTTCATTCCAATATCTATTCTATTCTGGTTATGATGTTTGATATTTGTTTGAGGTCCACTATTTGCTTTCATGTTGGTGGTATTTAATTCCATTCTATTTTTCCTTACTCTACAGCAATATTTCTCAACCTTGGCGTGGTTGACAAGATGTGTGGATTTCAACTCCCGAAAGATGGATGGACTTTGACTGGATGTCTAGACTTCAACTCCCAGAACTGGGGAGAATTCTGGGAATTAAGGTCCATACATGTTATAGTTGCCAAAGTTGGAAAACATTGGACAATAGCACAAGGCAACAGCACCCATTCTCCTAGGGCTCCAGAAAACCTGGGCTTGCACCCGGGCGAGGAATTGGAGTTTATAATCATTTGTTCAAAGGCCCGTTTTGTTTTGTTCCGTTGATGTTGTTATTCGTTAGATTGTTTTAGTCTGGGCTGAGTAAACTCAAAAAGATGTACTCAGCCCAGTTTTTTAGCTGTTTTTATGGAGGGTTTATCTAGAGTTCATTGGAGTTGGGTGGCCAACACATTTAAGCAAATAATACTGTATTGCACAAACAAAGCACATTTCTTTGCACTTGTTCTGTTACCCAACCCCTGACAGTATGATTTGCAAATCATGCTTTATATGTGTGGCTTGGCATGTTGTGTGGACGCAGCCAGTTTGCCTGCAACCCTAGGGAAACCATTGAACAGGTCAAATAAAGTGCAATGGAGACGGGAAACAGTATCATTGTAACACAACGGCAACCTACCCGGGTTTCATTAAATTGGCTTTCTTTCAAGGCTAAACTCTTCCAAAACAACAAGATGTGGTCATTTTCTGGTATAATCTTTAAAGCATCAGGTGCAGCCAGGGATACTGTAACAGACATTGGAGAGACAGGTGGATATATGATAGGTAAATATAATAGCAACTTCTTAATAAATGCTTAGTAAACTTAATCCTCCAGGGAAAGATTGAAGGCCAACGAAGTCCAGGCAGAAGAAAAACATCAGGGGTTCCAAATCTAAGGGACTGGTTTGGACAAAACTCAACAGCGCTTTTTCGTGCGGTTGTTGATAAAAATAGAATCGCCAACATGATCAGAAATGTCCAGTGACGGATATGTGTCATGCCCCTGGTAGAATCTGATTCCGAGAGGGAGGTCGAAAAGCTGACAGAGAGTGGGAGTGTGACTCCAGTGGCTGTGGAGGAAAGTGGGGAAGGGCACAGGCCGGCTGGGCATTAAGAGGAAGACCCAGGCCCACCCCCTCTTCATCCTAGGGCATGCAGGGAGGAATGGATAAGGGAGCAACGTGGTTTACGGGGGAGGAAAGGGCCCTGATTCCCTTCATTAGTTGCAGCTGGGAGAACAGGATATAAGAAGGGGGTTTGTGCACAGAACCTTACTGGAAGCAAAGCGTGCATTATCTTTGTTTGTCAAGTCTTATCTGGGTTCTGGCTCCTCCCAACTGTGTGTGTTTCATTATCTTTTGAGTTCTGCGATTCCTTATCCTGCCCTGTCTCGTTAATTGCTGCAGCGTGCTTTGTGTTGGTTTTTCCTTATAATTTATATGTACTTTGGGGTTAGACTGAATTTCTTCCCTTTAAAAATTGTTCTTGGGAGAGTTTTTTCTCCAGCCGATGATAACTGGACATTGGGGGCCAAGTTGGAGGAATTAAAGGGACTTTACCTACTTTTCTGACTTTGATGCTTTTGTGCCATGCATGCCACGGGTCATCACAATATGGCACAAGGAGAAGTAGTAGTAAATGCAGAAAAAAAAGAGACCCATTGACTTCAATGGGGCTCGCGCTCTGGATGATGACAAGTTCAGCACTTATACCATACTCTTACCTGTGTTGATTTTCAAACTAGCTTCCTTGCTCATGTTTCCTAGCTGTATAACGATGTGGTATCTTCCACCAGGGTCCAGTTTTTTTATGGTATATTCCACCGTGCTGTTTCGGGTCTTCACCTTATAGTTTCGATCTGTCTTCCTTATTAAATCTTTCACAGCCACTGCATACAACTGGGGAGAAGGTAGACATGAGAGATGCTATGTCCTTCAACGTTCAACACAAAGTGGTGTATTTTAGTTGGAGCATCTTTTTAGGGCAGTCTCTTTCAACCTTGACAACTGGAAGAGGTATGGACTTCTACTCCCAGAATTCAATTCTGGGAGTTGAAGTCCCTGCATCTTAAAATTGGCAAGGCTGAAGGACACTGCTTTAGGGCAAAAGAGATCCATTGAGAATTTGGCTGAAAAAGGCTAAATCTCACCTAGGACAGTATTGATCTTGGATTAATTAAAGAATTAACCTTGGAATCAAAAACTAGCATCCTATATTGAACCACCCTCTCTGGCACTTGGGTTCCATGTTTATGGATCACCAAGCTTAGTGTGGTGTTCTGCCTTATGAGAACCACAGACAACAAGTGTTGTGGCCCGCCAGCGGCTGACAGACCTGGCAGAAGAGTCAGGCAGTGAGGAGGTTGGGGAGGAACCTGGGCCATTCCTGGAGGCTGAGGAAGGCTTGGATGAGGGCTCTGCATCAGAGGCAGAGATGGGGCCAGGGCAGGCTGACATTCATCAGCTGCCTACAGGCTTGGACAACAGGGAGGCAGAGGAGCTTCTGGAACCAGTTCCCAGCCTGTGCAGAGCTGCCAAAAGGACGGAACAATTAAGAACATAGGGTCGATGTGGGAATAAGGCCACAGGTGGACGATGAATGGCCCCTCCCATCAGGATTAAAAGAGGAGCAAAAGGGGAAGGGGCTTTTGCAGGAAACAACTTGCTTGTTCATTCATTCCTGCCTCATGAAGATTTATCTGTGTAACCCAGCCCTTCCCTGTCAGCACTGTGTGTGGAAATATTTACAGGGCAGCTTTCCAATGTAGATAAGGTCTGGAGCTAATTAGTATATCTTTGCCAAGCTGTTGGGTGAATGTGAATGCACTAAATTTACATTCATTTAATAAAAGAGGTTTTGCCGGGACTCAAGAGTTGGCTTAAGGCTTTTTGGGGAAGTCTAGGACCGAACACGCAGTGAGATGCACACAAATCAAAGCAACAGTGAATGTATCTTCCCTAGATGGGTGATGACGTCAATACAATAATTCCGTTTAATCTATCAAGGCTAACCATGCTCCAAAGTCTTCTCATTGGCGCTATCAAGGCAGGACATGTTTCCTGTCCTTTCCAAAAGAAGAAAGGTATCAGTGCTCTACCAACCACGGGCATGAGACCCCCAACCCAGGGCTGGGCTCCTGGGGGTTCGCAGGGGTTGGGAAGAGCCCCTAAAATTCTGTAAAGTTCAGAGAACCCCCAAATCCCACTCCTGGCTGTCCCCGCCCACCCCTCCCCGGGCACACGCAGCGGCTCAGGGAGGGTGAAAAATGGGCCTCCCGGAAGTTCGGGAAAACCAGAAATGGGCCCGTTTCCGGCTTCCAGGGAGCCTCCAGAGCCCGGGGAAGCCATTTTTGCCCTCCCAGAGGCTTGAGGAAATCCCCCGGAGCCCAGGGAAGGCAAAAACGCACAAACACACCCCTACGTGGTGCAGAAGGCCGACTAGTCCACGCCCACCATGCCCACGCCCTTCCAGCAACCGGGCAGAGAACCCTTTGCTGAAATTTTTGAAGCCCACCCCTGCCCCAGCCATGTGTAGAGTCAACGTTGGGCCAAGCTTGGACTGGCGCAACCCTCTTACCATATCTTGATCCGGGGAGTCGTAAGGCGACTCCCATTTAATGATGGCAAACGTTTTTGATAGGTGGACAGCGTGAAGGTGTCGAGGGGGAAGGCGGTTGTCAGGAATCATCTTCACAACAATATAATCTGAGGGTGGACCTTGGTATGGAGAAATCACTCGCACCTGGAGGAAACAAGACATCAGTAGAGCAATTCATTCTGGTATAGCACAAGGTGGATTTTCCAGATCATGAAGCCTAGCCTGAATCGAACCGACAGGGACTACTAGATCCAGTTTAGCTTCTTTGCAAACATGTGGTTTCCATTCTTTCATAACTTACATTCCACCAACCACTCAATCAAAGAACTTGAATCCCGCCACGAAAGGAAGAAAAAAGCTTACTCTAAGCTAAGAGAGCACGTTGGGCAAATCATGGTTAAACTACAGCTTAGCACAGTGTATGACTCCACTCAGATGTCTGATTAAAGGATACTACAGGAACAACTTTCAAATATCTTCTTTTGTCTGTATTTAATTACTACCAACCTGCCTTCAATCGAGGATCTGTATACTGCACGAGTCAAAAAGAGGACTGTGAAAATATTTACAGACCCCTCATATCCCAGACATAAACTGTTTCAACTCCTTCCCTCAAAACGACGCTATAGAGCACTGCACACCACAACAACTAGACACAAGGGGAGTTTTTCCCTGAACGCCATCACTTTGCTAAACAAATAATTCCCTCAACACTGTTCAACTATTCACTAAGTCTGCACTACTATTACTATTAATCTTCTCATCACTCCTTATCACCCCTCCCCTCCCACTTGTGACTGTATGACTGTAACTTTGCCGCTTGTATCCTTATGATTTATATTGACTGTTTCCTAGTATGATTTGATTGCTTATTGTACCCTATGACTATTATTAAGTGTTGTACCTGATGATTCTTGACTCTTGATGAATGTATCTTTTCTTTTATGTATACTGAGAGCCTTTGCACCAAGACAAATTCCTTGTGTGTCCAATCACCACTTGGTCAATACATTTTTTATTCTATTCTATTCTAAAAAGTTAACTTAGTTGGGTTTCTGTAGAAATTGCCCAAAAGGATTAATTGAAAGTCTATCCTTACCAGGAATAAGTACTGTTCATCCCGGTTAACAATCACAGTCATGTTGTGGAGAGCTGTAGTTGCATTGCTAGGATTCCGGTAGAGGTCCAGGAAAGACGTGGCGTAAAATACGCCGTATATCTGCCCAGGGTGGAGAGGAAATAAGGAAGAGGAAATAAACCTGCAGATTCTGCCGTTCTGTAAATAACGTCGCAAAATCCTTTAGCCCCAGAGTTTTCAAACAGTTACGGCCCATGGGATGAATCAAAAAGAAATTGATGTTTTTACCACATTCCTTGGCCCACTCCAGTTGCATTCGACGGCTGTCTGGTTGACCGCTTTGGCCTTCAGGCTGGGGGGGAACGGCCTCGTGCCCCGGGTCACTACGTGAGCGAAAGAGAGCGGGCTGTCCCCCAGCTCCGTCTTGGCCCAGGCAGAAATTTCATACGGTGTCTGAGCAGTCAAGTTCCTCACTGGGGAAGACAGGAGGAATTTCCTGACAGTTAGAACCATGAATCCGTGAAACAACTCAGCTTCGGAAGCTGGGAATGCTCCAACACTGGAAGTTTTTAGAAAGAGATTGGATGACCATTTGACTGAAGTGGGATAGGCTTTCCCACCTGAATAGGGTGGCTCCCTTCCAACTATTCTATTCTATTCTATTCTATTCTATTCTATTCTATTCTATTCTATTCTATTCTATTCTATTCTATTCTATTCTATTCTATATTCTATTCTTCCATTCCATTCTACTCTATTAGTTCTGTTCTATTCTCTATTCTATTCTATTCTATTCTATTCTATTCTATTCTATTCTATTCTACTCTCTATTCTATTCTATTCTATTCTATTCTCTATTCTATTCTATTCCATTCCATTCTACTCTATTAGTTCTGTTCTATTCTCTTTTCTATTCTCTATTCTATTCTATCCTATCCTATTCTCTATTCTATTCTATTCTCTATTCTATTCTATTCTATTATCCTATTCTATTCTATTCTCTATTCCATTCCATTCTACTCTATTAGTTCTGTTCTATTCTCTTTTCTATTCTCTTTTCTATTCTCTAATCTATCCTATTCTATATATCCTATCCTATCCTATCCTATCCTATCCTATCCTATCCTATCCTA